TTTGAGCCTCAAAACATCAGCCCAATGAAGAAAATAAAAAATATTTGACACATAAAGAAGTCCCAATTATAAAAAAAAATCATCTATTTCTTTTTAATACATAACTTTACGTTTTCTTAAATAAAATAAAAATCAATTAATAAGAATGTATATAAATTTTGATATTTTAATAACCAAATTACTTGCCTTAATTTTTAGAGTTAGAGAGAAAATTAAAACTTTTCAGAGAAACTAATTCATATAAATTTTTACTTTTGTTTATTAAGTTAATCTAATTTGTCAATAATTAAAATTTTATATTTATTATAGGCATTTTATAAGATTCAAGAGTTTAACTTGCTAGTGTAAATTATCTAAGATTTCAATGCCCAAAAGGACTAAGATTTGTGGCTTGAATTCAAGTTTTGGATTGATCCAATTTATGCAAAACATGTTACTGAGACTGAATCGATCAACTCCTCAGATTTCATCGTTAGTTGAATGATCATTGTATCTAAGTTTTAGGATTTGATACAACCAAAGCACATTCACTAATAGAAAATCAAGACCGAAAGGATGCAAATTTGTTTATGTTTTTCTAGCTACTTTACACCCTCGAATGAATCATGAGATGTCAAAATTAAGAATGGTGAAGGTGGGTATATTCCATCACCTTTGTGTTTTCCTGCTCTCTATCCTTCTTTGCCCCCATTCATTTTTCTATCGCTTTTTGGAGCTCCCTTTATTCTATTATCTTCCTTTGAGGAAAAAAAGTTTCAGAAAGAAAATCTGCTTAAAGAGAGTTGAAAGTCACCCTAGCCCTAGATTTTATTCTTCTAGTTTTATCATTTTCATCAAAATCAGTGAAATAAGCAATGCTTCAAAATAGATCTGATACGGGTTTTCAAAATATATGTTTTACTGTGTTCTTTCCATTGATATAACTTGTAATAACAAAATATTTACTTGCACTTTAAAAGTAGCAGTCCATAAAAGAGAAAAAGGAAAAAGACGAAATCTTGCTTCTTCCTTTTTCCCTTTAGTTGATTGTTGGGAAAGAAGAGTTTTATGTCAAGCAAATTTAGCAGCCTACAAGGTTGTCAACCTTTCTCATTTCTCTCTTCAAAAAAAAAAAAGTTACATTAACTTTTCTCAGAAATTTTCAATCTGCTGAAATTAGTACTGCTGCCAATAGCTGCTAACTTTCACATGTTCTTTCTTGACATAACCCCATTTCTCTTTTATCATAGAGTTATTCTTTTTTTTTCGGCGAAGGCATGATTTTTAGTCCTTTCTTAATCTATGAGACATGTTTCAGGATATGACAAGTACTACATAGGCTAAAAAAGAGTCTTGTTTGTGGACCTTGATGATGGTACACTGCTCCTTTGTATTTGTTTGAACTCTAAAGCGGATGATTCGGTACACTCAGAAAATTCAAACAAACTGAGGTTAAATATTGTAAATGGGATTTCATTGCCTAAATGTTCTTTATTTACACTGCACTGTATACCATTATGGGCGATTAGGACCATGACAACAAAGAAATAATAAGGCCCTGAAAATGATTTATCTGAGAGGAAATCAGACATGTTGCAAGTTGGTGGATATTGATAAGCCTTCATTCAAGGATTAAAATAGTAGCTCAATCGAAGTTTTAATGTTTTGATTTGATTGTTTTTGTAAATTAATGGCATATATTACATCAAAAACATTGTTAAAACTACAGATTATGTCTTTTATTTTGATCCCTATAGGATCCATATGAAAGAGAGATGGGAGTGGGGGCAGAAATGGGGAAAGGAGAGATACCTTTTGCTGGTTATGATTGGCATTGACTCCCTTGTCCTAATATCTTTGGAAAGATTACTTTTTCGGTCACACCCTTGTAACTACCCCCATTTGCATCATAAGCTCATTGGCCACCCCTTTCCCACTTTCCCACTACTAAACAAACAATGCCAAATTGCTTACTGCTTTATGCTAATTGCTAACCCTCTTTGTTTCGCTCTCTTTAATAGTCAAATTAATGGTAGCTTTTTCATTTTTACTGGAAATTTGTGGGTTTGTTTGGCCAACTCAAGGCACTGTTTTAGTCCCTCCTCCAACTCTATGAAGCTTGACAGATGCATGGAGACTCACTTCCTTTTATGTTCTGAATCATGTTTTGGAAAATAAAAAGAGAGAAAAGTTGTGTGATTTGGGCAGTTCTTTATTGTTTATGTGTTGTCCTTTTCTTGTTATGGAAAGCTGGTTTTGTGTGCGGAATGATGGTAACAACTAGGAAATTTGATAATCTGTGTCTACATGCATGACTCACGGGCCCAAGACTGATATATTATCATTATCAAATAATTTCACCCCATAAAATTACTGGCATTGTTAGTAAAGAAGCATGAATACTTTTGTAGGAACCAAGGAAAAAGTTCTTTTTTGAAAAACTGTTGGTATGCTTATCTATCTCACCTGAATAAGGATAAGAGTATGTTTCATTTCTATCAAGTTATTTCATGTATTTAGAGGTTTATATCTTAATACTCATATTCAAATATGTGTTCAACATGAATATCATACATGTATACTTCAAATAAAATGAAAAGACAAACATCAGTTTGGTTAGAGATTTTGTGGTCAGCTATATATGAATAACATTTTATAACAGGACAGATTGAGTTATAGTCTTGTTTCTATATGAAACAGACAACAATAGTAGCAGAAAGAACAAAGAAACACCTAATAGCAGAGTCCTCCGTATCTGGTTCCTGAATTTTACTAGCTTCCATTGAAATCATACATATTTTGTTTTCCTTTCTATTTTGTCTTCTTTGATCACTTGAGTTGAATATTTTAGTAAATGAATTTGAAATAAAACTTGCTATTACTGAGGCATTACAAACTTGATTCAAAAAATCTGGAGAGACCTGGGTAATCTAACCCAAATCTTGTGCTTATAAACTTACAACGTTTCCAAGGAAAAAAACCCTGTATTCAATTAAGCATGGAACTCCGTGATTGTTAGATTAGGGGATGTTGATTTTCGTAATCCTCAATTGAAGAATATCATTAATACAACTTCATTGTTTCATTGATCTATATGAAGTATGTCTGTCAGTTTCATTTGAAAAAAAAAAAATTAAAAGATTCTCTTTACTTACTCTAAAGGCCAAATTGTATAAGATACCATGTTTTCTTGGTAATGCCATATCTTTGTCATTGAGAAGCTACTCGATGACCTTGACTTATATAAAAATCTGGATAATAAGATAAAATAGAAGTTTCATTTGTTTATGATTTAAAAGGACTGCAAAATTTTCAACCCTTTGTTTGTGAAGTTTAAAATATCATAGATTCAGATACATCCAAAAGCTCAGTTCTGGTTCTCTCTCATTAACCCCAATGGAAGAATAACTTAGCATGAACATACGATGATGAAGTTAAATACCCAGATTATGTTAATCAGTTTCAGAATCTCATATGCATTAATGCTTATAATCTCATATTGATAATAGCAGCATCCAATTGATTGATTAGCCAAAAATTTCTGTTGATATAAGGCATCATGAATCCTCAAGTTTAATCATTTAAGACATCATTTCTTTTTCTTTTTTTATTTTCTCAAAGCTACATTTGTTTATAGACTAGGCTTTTGGATTTTTCTGCAATCTCAATATAAAAGGCTTTTGGGTTATTGTTGTTGTTGCAGTGATAAAATATACTTTTTCTAAGAATTTGTGTATGAAAACAAAAGGTAAGACCATGCCACCTTGCAATTACACACACAACCCTATATTTCTTTAATATTTACTGTGTTGATCCTTGAAAAAGGTCAAGCCCCATAAGCATTTTTCTAATTATTTTATTTCAAGTGCGTGGATTCTATGACAAACATTAGTCTCTTTGGTACTGAAAGACAATCTGGGTATATGCCTCTACGCCTATTCTCTCCAAAAAAGTAGATTTAGACAAAGAGAAACCACAACACTTCATTTCCTTTTAAGCAGTCTATGCCTCCTTTAAACTTCTCTTTTCATTCTTTTGCGGTGAGAGTTTGTTTTGTTTTTAGCGTTATTATTCTTAACAACTCACATTTGGACATAAACGCATTCTTGATTAGTGTTCAAAATCCTTAATATTTTTGGAAGGACTTGCCTCAGACTATTTTCTATCTTGAACAGTTAATCAAATCTACAAAAGAATTGTGATTGTTTAAATTGGATGTTAAAATGGGTTGCACGTTTGATGATATTAATCAAATGCAAGTTTGCCTACTGGTAACATAAAATTATTTGCCACATAAGTTTTGCAGATTAGTTGAAAACCAACTTAATTATCAGCTTTTTTTTCCAAGTGGATTAGGCTAACTGTGACCCTTTAGTTGAAACATTTTAACAATTGATCAAACTAACCCATCATTCCATCTATGATAAGCAGGTTTTTTTACTATTGTAAGCCTAAACCTAGAATAACCAGCAAATTATTAGTATTTGATTTCCAAGGGCAAAACTTTATCTCACCGCAAGGTAACCAATGCCATAAAATAATGAAAAAGGGTAAAATCCCATAAAACAAATACAAATTATTAGCCAAAATAATAAGGTAATTCGAATGGTTAGTATCTTACAACTTACATTTAATGTATAAAAACTTTATCTCACCGCAGTATGACTGTATGAGACAGGGCAGTATGAGACAGGGCAGTAGGGGGACGGTCACCAACTCCCACTTGCTTTCCACCAAGGGAATGACTATGGAAACTAATGGTATTCATTCATAAATGCTCGCTTAGACTTTAGACTAAAATTTCTTTACGCTAAACTATTATACACAGTTGTAGCCACTATATATCTTCGTGTCATATGTATACTTTTGACTTCTGCTTGAGTGAAGAGAAGTAGAGAAACTGTCCGCTTTTGGCCATTTGACACATTACACCAATTAGTTTAAAAGCCAAAGGTTGTGTTTATGCTAACTTTCTTCTTCCCTTGAGGCCCACGCCCTGCCCTGGTTTTACTTCTTTTTACAGTTAAACTAGGGAGAGATAATTTCCTCCTTGCAAAAGCTAAAGGATTTATAAATTGCCTTGAGTGAAGTTAGTACCTTGGAGAAAAGGGAAAGAAACACTGCCCATTGCCCAAAAGCCAAAAAAGTCTCATATTTTCTGAGCCTTATTAGTGGGGTTTTTTAATGCAAACGCAATATCAGTCCTCTGCTAAGTTTCAGGACATTTTAAGCAGCAAAATGATCAGTTTTTATTAGTAGCTCCTGGAAGTCCCAGTACTCTTGAAAATGCAATAAGACAAGTTTAGTCTTGGAGTCCAATCACGGGTCTCTGCGTAAAAACATTTCTTCTCTGCCCCTCTCTCTCTACAATTGTTTACCTACTCCGTCTTCCTCAGAACCCTTTTCTTGGTCTTCCCCGTAATATTCTTTTAGAGACTAAACTGGTAAAGTCTTCTACTTTGTTCCATTTTCTGCTGTCCATGTTTCAAAAGAAATGTTTTTATGGTTGGTTTTTCTGTTATGTTATGAACAAATTTCGTCTGATATTATTTTCTCAGTGATGGGATTTCAAGGCAGCGCAGAAAGTAAAATGTTGGGATTGAGAGTGACATCATCAAGGCACAAGCGATCAAAGAGGTGACTGTTTATAAATCTTTTGTTAGTTTGCCATCAACTTTGCTGTACTTTGCTGTTATGAGTTTTCTCTAACTGGAAGGGTTTATGGGATGAGGTTTTGCTTGAGAAAACTTGCAACTTTGAGCATTTTCAGAAGTAGAAAACCTGAAGAGGCATTTGCCAATTCTCCTTTAGTTTGGCTCCATGTCCCTACTCCCTAGTTTTGCTTTGTCATTAATGTTTTGATGTGATATTAATAAATATGGAGTAACAAAGGGGAGTTTCGTAAACCATAAAGGTACTTGAAATTTGGCTTCTGGCATTAAACGTCACTTTACTCTCCTTACAATAACATTTGCAATTAATATGCCATTGATGAATTACTTTAAGAAAAGTTAAAGTGAAAACCTTGGTCTTCTTGCTTGTAGATGTATGTGAAAAGAAAAAAAAAAAGGTTGTCTTTTTTGCTTAAAGGGCTAAAAATAGCAATGACAACCCTCAAATCCTGCCTTTTGCAAAAATTATCTTTTGATTCTTGAATTTTGTCACATGGCAGCTTTCCTGGAAAGAAAAGAGTTGAGGAAGATAGCTTGGATAATTCTCCTGAAGCATCAAATCGTATAAAGCTGGTAAATTATTCCCTTTTTCCTCAAACTCTTGCAAGTAATGTGTAAGATATTATTTTCTACAGTTGGTTTGAGACTTCAGAGCATAAGAACATATGATAATTTGATTATCTTATTGGTACTTTGACTAATAACTTATTTCAAGGATCTCTTTTTCCCTCCCTCCCTTTGTCATGTTCTTTTCCTTTTCTCTTTAGCTCCTCGCTGCTGCATAGGATGGTAAGAGTTGGTGGTTCAAAAAGGAACCATATAATAAAATTATTTATTTTAAATTATGCTTTTAGCTCTGAATCAAGTTAGATCTGATTAGTTCTTGCTATGGACTAATTAGTCAACATTAATATGCTCCTAGAGAATTTTTTACAATCGGAAAAGGGTCTGATTTCTATATCTGGTTACTAGGATATGGAGCACCTGAAGGACTCTGTTAAAACTCAGAAGAAACAATCTCCCGCTCCCAGCACCGAGGTCCAAAAGTCTTTGAAGCAAGAGGTGTGAAATTAAATTTGTTTTTATCGTTTTTACTAATCTTTAGACATCACAGGGCCTTAATTCAATTTGGGAGTGGTCCAATCATGTCTTTTATGACCCAAAATTAGGCCACAGTTCACAAGTAGCAAAGTTCTATGATTTATTTTTCTCTTGCCATAAAACTCTTGTGCAGATTTTACAGCTTGAGAAAAGGTTACAAGATCAATTTGAGGTTCGCCGTGCATTGGAAACAGCATTGGGTTATAGAACTTCTTCCCATGAAGACAGAAATGAAACATCAGTGTCCGTAACTAAGGTAGTTCCTCTAAACTCTTATTTTCCTAGGAGTTAGTTGTTAAGACTTTCTGCTGCTGTCTAGTGTTTTAATGGTATTGTTCCCAGAACTGCTGCTTCTATCCTTAGTGGACAAATGAATTTTCATTTATGCCAATGCTTATATGTTCTTCATGCCTGCCTCTTGACAGTTGGCATTGCTTTTCTGCAGCCAGCTGCCGAGCTAATCAAGGAAATTGCCTTGTTGGAATTGGAAGTTGTATATTTGGAACAGTACCTTCTCTCGTTGTATAGGGAAGCCTTTGATCAACAAGTGTCTTCTACATCGCTGTCTAAAAGGTGTGAAAGGATTAAAACACCAACAGATTCACCAAGAGGGAGATTTCCGAAAGTTTCCAAACCTGATGATGCATCAAAAGTTGAAAATTCAGCTCTACGGTCTGGTTACCTTGACAATTCATGCAAAGCGCCTTGTGGCTTTGGAGAAGAAAAACTATCAGATTCTGGTGTTCACCGATGTCATTCCTCACTATGTCAACATTCAGTATATTCAAGTAGAGTCGTACCTCCAGAAGAGAACTTGGCTAAAGCCATACGGACCTGTCATTCACAACCTTTGTCCATGATGGAGGTAACTTACTTTTAGCATGTAATCTTCTCAAAACATTTTTATTAGTTTTACTTCGCATTTTTGGTTAGTTCCGGAGTGCATCACAATAAACCATTAGTCATTTATAATTTCAGAACAACTGTTCAATTTATGGGAGAACAATCTCTCATATAATAGGTATTACAATTTGAGGATCTTTGCTTGTGGTTGTAACTTTTTCTTGGTTCTCTACAATATGAGCAGAACACATCGAATGTAATCAGTCTGGCTGAACATCTTGGCACTCGCATTTCTGACCATGTTCCAGAGACCCCAAACAAGCTTTCTGAGGATATGATCAAGTACATGGCTGCTATATATTGCAAGCTTGCAGAGCCACCGATCCAAAACAGATTATCATCTCCCAATTCATCCACATCATCAGTCAATGCCTTTTCCCCACCGGAACAGCATGACATGTGGAGTCCGGGGTTCGGAAATAATTCCTCTTTTGATGTACGATTAGATAACCCTTTCCATGTGGAAGGACTTAAAGAGTTTAGTGGACCATATAGCACTATGGTTGAAGTGTCACGGATTTTCAGAGATAGTCAGAAACTAAGTGATGTTGAACACTTGCTACAAAACTTCAGGTGTGTTTTTCGCAAATGTCACAAGAAAAAACTCTCTGTTTTTCATGCGTTCATCGAATTGTTTTGTTATAGGTCACTTATCTGTCGACTGGAAGAAATTGATCCTAGGAAGTTGAAACATGAAGAGAAGCTGGCTTTTTGGATAAACATACACAATTCATTAGTGATGCATGTAAGTGTTCTCATTGACGGAAAGAATCTGATATTATAGTGTTGATTCCAATTTTAATGGAATTGATTGTATTCAATCTTTCTTTTCTTTTCCTTTCCTCCATAATAGGCTTTTCTGGCTTATGGTGTCCCACAAAACAATGTGAAGAGACTCTTTCTACTGTTGAGGGTAAGAACAACTTGTCTCGTTGTTGCATCTCTTGAGCTGTGAAACTAGATTGGTACATGTTATCTTATGCTCTTTTACTATTCAGGCTGCATATAACATCGGGGGTCACACCATCAGTGCAGATACAATACAGAGTACCATCCTTGGATGTCGTATATCTCGTCCTGGACAGGTAAGATCTTGTAGAAACTGGACTCTAGATTGAAATGGCCATTGAGCTTGATTTAACTCATGTTTTAAAATGGTGCTGATGAAGCTTTCCTGCTTGTAGTGGATTCGGCTATTACTCTCTTCAAGGACAAAGTTTAAATCTGGAGATGAAAGGCAGGCATATGCAGTTGAACATCCGGAACCTCTTTTACACTTTGCCCTTAGCACGGGAAATCATTCTGATCCTGCGGTACTATTTCTTCTTCCATCAATGTTATTTTCCTTACTATTATATTACCAGTGATTTCTAGGAACCAATTGAAAGATGTTAATTTTGGTTTCCCATGGTGGTTTCTTTTTGTATGAACATTATCAGCTTTGTAATATATTTTACCTTTTCTTTAGATACGTGCCTACACACCAAAGGGAGTATTTCAGGAGCTGGAAACTGCAAAAGAAGAGTACATCCGTGCCACATTTGGTGTCCGCAAAGACCAGAAAATTCTGTTACCTAAAATTGTAGAGTCGTTTGCAAAGGATTCTAGGTTGTGTCCGGCTGGTGTCACCGAAATGATCCAGCAATCTTTACCCGAATCACTTCGTAGGAGCTTTAAAAAATGTCAACTAGGAAAACCACGCAAGAGCATAGCATGGATTCCTCAAAATTTTACCTTTAGGTATCTAATATCCAAAGAACTACTAAGATGAGTTGCCTGTATGCAGGTGTTTCGGCATGATGCAGTTTCCAAGTATTTCCATTTTGGAAGATTTCAGATTTTTGCTTGTACAAAGTTGAAATGAAAAGGGAAAACGTAGGATATAACCATGTAGCATCATTTTGTAATGTAATTGTTATTGTCCTTTTTCATGCGAGAGGCAGAACCAGTTATTTATGTAATGTGCATTGAGATTTGTATATAACTTGTGCTGGTATATTTCTATTAGAGAAGTCATCACACAACTTGAACACCAGACTCAAAAACTATTGTTCTCGACTTAAATTTAGTTGGTTTCTAGCATCAGCACGTGACCCCGTATCATAATTTGGCTTAAAAATATCTTGCCATGGTGGTGAAATCTGGGTGATGAGATTTTAATATTAAATATTTACCCTCATTTATTGTTTGGATATTATTAATTTATATTTATTTTGAGTTTATTTTAGATAGGAACTTCCTTGGATTAATTAGCCTAAAAACTAGTAGATTTCAAGGTCCATTCATCATCTTATAGAAGACAAGCAGAATTACCTTGTATTTACATGGGACAAGGTTATCCAGAAGATGAAAAAGAATTCAACCATAAGACTTAAATATTTATCTTTTGTGATAAACTTTTTTAATTTATGATTTTTAGTTTGATTGTTCTATTATTATTTTATTTAAGAATTAATTATTTTATTAGAACTCTTATTAGGAATTTTAATTTAATTATTTTAGGAATTAGTTATTTTATTTGCTTAAAACTATGGGTGACAATCAGGTTGGGAAAAACCAAGAATAGTGGGGATCCGAATCGACGGGATGGGGAATAACCAAAATCTTCACCCACGGGAATGGGGATGGGGGAAGTTTTATCTCGAAGCTCAAATTGGGATGGGGATGGGGATGGGAACGTGGATTGCTATATTTGAACCGCTGGGATAACCGTGTAGATCCCCGAAAAATATCCGTAAAGATCTCTGATATTTTACAAAATTTTAAAAATATATTTATAATCATTTACCTATATACCCTTAATATATATTTTAATAAAAATATATATATGATAAGATTGTGAGATTACGTGTTGCCCACTGTTACATCTCAAAGGAACTAAAATTGAAGTTTATATCTTTTCTCATTTAATATACATTGATTTGTTAAGATTGAAAATGGTTAAGATTATACATATACATTGGGTGTTAGATGAATATTGACGTTTGAAACTTTCATATTATAAATAGAAACCAATTTGTGACAATCTGATATATCTTACAAATTTTAGATGTTGCATTGATTTAAAAAATGTTTGTTTATTTTTTGGGATATGGATTAACCGAAACCCGCAAGGATCAGTAAGGGATGGGTATGAGGATAAAAAAAATCCCCAAAACATATAATTGGGATTCTCCAAAACCGTACCCACAAGTGTTGGAGATGGATTGGGTAATGCAAAATCGTCCCCGCCCCGTCCCGACCCGTTGCCACCCGTACTTAGAACTATATGATTATAAATACCCCTTAGGTTCAACATTGAAACCCATATTGGAATTTATTTTATTTGGTTATTTATTTAAGTTCTACTTTTCTTTCGTCTCCATCTTTCTTTCTTTATTTTCTTAATTATTTTCTTTTCACAGTGCTAAGCATGGTCTAGTCTATTCATGAGAATTGAATCTTAATCTTCATACATTCATATCGTATTCTTGATTCTCTGGAAACTAGGAGTGGCATTCGGTCATTCTCTTAAAACTTATTACATCTTCTACCCAAAAGATGCACGTTGATTTGAAGACTGTTTTACTTGAAGTTTGGAAGTCAGATCGGTTTGTCGTAATTCAGTTTCATGTGAACAAACTTAGCAATGGTCTGTTAAGGAGAATCAAGATCGAGTTCGATTCCCGGTGAGACAATATAACTCGAGTCGGGCTTTTCCAGAATTGAAAGTTATTTTGGATCTAACGGCGCTAGACGTGTCTAGGCCAACAAATATCAAATTTCAAAAATTTTGTAATGTAATTGTTATTGTCCTTTTTCATGCGAGAGGAAGAACCAGTGATTTATGTAATGTGCATTGAGATTTGTATATAACTTTGTGCTGGTATACTTATATTAGAGAAGTCATCACACAACTTGAACACCAGACTCCAAAAACTATTGTTCTCGACTTAAATTTAGTTGGTTTCTAGCATCAGCACGTGACCCCGTATCATAATTTGGCTTAAAAATATATTGCGTTGGTGAAATCCGCAAGGTGGGTGATAGAGTTTAATATTACATATTTTTAATATTATTTATCTTTCATTTATCACTTGAATATTATTGATTTATCTTTATTTTGAGTTTATTTTGGATATAAACTTTATTGGATTAATTAGCCTAAAAATTAGTATATTTCGACGGTTCATTCAACATCTTATAGAAGACGAGTAGAACTTCCTTGAATATTTAATTTGGAATTTACATGGGACAAAGTTATTCAGAAGATGAAGAAGAATTCAACCAGAAGACTTAAATATTTATCTTTTGTGATAGACCTTTCTAATTAAGGATTTTTAGTTTGATTGTTCTATTATTATTTTATTTAATAATTAGTTATTTTATTATAACTCTTATTAGGATTTTTAATTTGATTATTTTAGGAATTAGTTATTTTATTTGCTTAGAACTATCGGATTATAAATACCCCTTAGGTTCAACAATTGAATATTGAAATTTATTTTCCTTGATTATTTATTGAAGTTCTACTTTTCTTTCATCTCCATCTTTCTTTCTTTATTTTCTTTCATTATTTTCTTTTCACAATGCTAAGCATAATTTAATCCATTCGTGAGAATTGAATCTTAATCTTCATACCTTCATATCGTATTCTTGATTCTATGGAAACTGGTAGTGATAATCAGTCATTCTCTTAAAAGTAGATTTGAAGATTGTTTTGCTTGAAGTTTGGAAGTCAGATCGGTTGGTCGTAATTCGGCTTCCTGTGAGCAAACTTAGTGGCCGTCCGTTAAGGGGAACCAAGATCGTGTTCGATTTCTGGTGATACACTATAACTCGAGTCGAGCTTTTACATAATTTAAAGTTGCTTTGGATCCAACAACGATAGACGTGGCTAGACCAACAAAGATCATATTTTAGGGATAGACTTGGAAATTTTGAATAACCAGAGAGAAGAGTTAGCTGTAGGAGTTGGGCCTTGTTGATTGTAACCGACATACATCAAGAAGGGAAAATTTTATTTCGATGACTGATCAAAATTGAGGTTAAGCAAAACCTGAGGCTATATCATCTTTATTTAATTCTTCTACTTTATTTATTTTCTTCTTATTATTTAGTATTCAATATTTATTTATTTATTTATTTTATTCAACATTATCAAACTTCCTTAGTCCCTGTGTATCGACCCTACTTCTCTATATTACTTTATTTATTTATTTATTTGAGAATTATGAATTATTTTTATTTAGCAAATTTGATGCTTGTCAAATTGATGCCGTTGTTGGGAACTTCGGTAAATTTACTAATATTGTTTCTTGTTTTGATTTATGATCAAGAAAATCTAGGAAAACTAGAAAATTGGGTACCTGAGATCGAAGCACTAGACCGAAGAATACACGCACGTATATTATGAGAAAGGCGACAACAACAATAACAATCACAACAATTCGATCTTAATCCGGAGATACCCTTTGACGTATAAACCTTCTCTGACACTGAAGAAGACTTCGAAGAACCAATTCCAATGAATCAACAGGTAATTCGAGAATTAGCTGCGACACCTGTCGAACCAACATCGTTATGCATCACATTCCCTTATGGAGAAACACCGTTTGAGCTATGACAAGGTTAATTCATCTTCTCCCTACCTTTCATGGATTACCAAGTGAAAATCCGCATAAGCATCTCACCGAATTTCACATGGGTTGCTCCAGCATAAACCACATAGAGTATTTAAGGATCAGATTAAACTTTGTGCTTTCCCATTTTCCTTAGTCGATTTGGCTAAGGATTGGTTATTTTATTTACCACCAAATTATGTTACTACATAGACTGATATGACTCAACTTTTTTCAGGTTCTTTCCAAAAGCGAAAGCAAATTAAGGAGAACCATCTTAGGAGTTCACCATAAATATAACAAGTCACTATACAATTATTGGGAACGGTTCAAGAAGCTATGCGCTAGCTGTCTGCAACACAGATTAACTGAACAAACTCTTCTCCAGTACTTCTATGAAGGCTTACTTCCTAGAAGATGATTGACACAACAAGTGGAGGAGCTCTCGTCAACATGACTCCCGCCGCGGCCAGAAATCTGATTTCTATTATGGCTACCAACTCTCAACAGTTTCGTCCATCTAGTGGACCCTCATGGCGGGTTCACAAGATAAGTACTCATTCTCTGGAGGATAAAATTGATAAGTTAACTAATGTGGTTCAATATCTCTTTGCAAGTAAAACAAGACCAGCAAGGTTATGTGAAATCTGCATGATGACAGATCATCCTACAAACTGTTATCCAATGCTTTGAAAAGATACTATGGCTTATGTGGATGTCGTAGGAAATTTTCTGGGACTTTCCCATAGACCTTACAATCCTCACGCCAACACCTATAATTCGGGGTGGCAAGACAATCCGAATTTTAACTATAGGCAGAATATGAGACCAAATCAAGCTTATCAACCGAGGCCACCTTCACCTTAGTAGTATTAGCCGCCAAAGTCATCATTAGAATCAATTATAGAGCGATTGAAGATATATTAGGAGAAGTTTTAGAACTAAACCGAAGCACACTTACAAGATCTAAACAAACAGATGAGTCAAATGGCTCAAACCGTGGGGCGATTAGAGTCTCAAGGGAAGTTACCATCGTAGAAAGAGCCTAATCCGAGGTTAAACGTCAGTTCAATGACCCTTCAAAGTGGCAGTATCGTTGAGACTGAGCATCCATAGCAGTTGACGCAAGAACCCAAGGGAAGAATAACGAGTAAAAAATGTCAGTGCCATCTTCTACATCATCTGCGTCATCTTCTGCATCATCTCCTTATGTTGTTCCACCTCCTTTTCCATCGATACTAGTTAAGCATGACAAATAAG